ATTAAGATTTAGCATTATTTAGATTTAGAAGAGGGTGTTGTCATTTCAAATTCCGTCTAAGGGATAGGATCTCAGTTAGTTCAGGGTTAGGATTAGGAATACATTTGTAATGGTTAAGGTTAGGGTCAGGGGTCAGGGGTTAGGGATTATGCATTATGGCAATGTTGTGTTGTCTTTTCCCCGACTCTCTAACCTCCCGCCCTGTTTCCTCCCACCACCTCTCTTTACAGATGTCCACAGTCTTCTATCTTTGTCTTTTTCTTATTTGGTTCTGATGCAAATTTTATTCAAAAAAAAAAAAAACTCCACCTGATCCACCAGTGGTTCTTCGCCAGCTCTGAACCTTGCAAAATGTTTCACGCCTTCACTCTTGTATCGCACTGGATCACACTGTTATTTCCGACTTTCCTTCCTAATGTGTTTTAAATGTATAAAATGCAAGAGAGTCTGTATCTTTTTTCTTTTTTTTTTTATCTGTCCATCTCTGAACCACGCTGCTGCCTCTCTGACCGTCTGTCTCCACCTCCAACTATCCCGTTTCTCCTCCGTCACATAACCATGGTGCCTGTTGCCGAGGCAACGCCAGCCATTCTATCCTGTCACACACACACAAACGCACAGACGTACACGTACACACCCACTGACTCGGTGATGTCAGAGCCGATGTTGTCGATTTTATTTTGGGCGCAGGGCGGTTTTTATGACACAAATGTTGAGCGGATATAAAACACGGATGACGTTGTTACAACTGTTCACGTAGGCCATAGTCAGATTAGGATTAACATTTTTGTTCTCATGGACGATGGATTCATTGGTAGCTTATGAATGAGTTTTTACAGACTTTGGTCACATTCCTTCTGCTCTTTTATGTGTATTTTTTTTTATCATCACTTAGCTGTTGCTAAGTGATGATACATTTTTTAAATGTATCCTCTTTTTAAAAGAGATTAAAAATGTTGAATTCATATCTATTTATAACTGAATATACTTTATTCTGGTAATGGATGTCTGGATGCCTTTTTTTTCTTTCTCTGTTGCTCCTTATCTCAGTCCTTGTGTTCTCAGTCCTCAAGGTCCGAGTTAAACATCTGTCGATTTATTGGTGGAAGAACCTTATGGAGAGCGCCTCGTGGTGGAGGAGTGGTTAGTGCTCTTGCCTTACAGTAGAATCAACACGGTACTGGTACTGGAGTGGTTAGTTCTCTTGCCTTACAGTAGAATCAACACTGTACTGGTTCAGCCCCTGTCAGAGTGTGATCCTACTTTAACCCATTGACTGCTGTGATTGATGATAACAACCTTGGTCATATTTTCTTCAAACTCTACGAAGTAATAACCTCTCAACACAGCAGTGTGCAGAAGTGCTTTTTTGTTAAAACCTCAGGTTCTTGGCCCGAAAAAGAAAGAGAAAAAAAAAAAAAAAAGACAGTGATGCTACGTTGTTCTGCTGTTTATGAAAAACAGTTCTAGTTGTCCCCAAAAACAATTCTGAACTTCTGAAATGAAGCTTGTCTGTTTGGTTCTGGAGTCGAAAGTCTTAAATATCTACTAAAACAGTTTTCAGCCGGTGAAGTGTTACCGTGGAAACAGGAAGTCTGAACTCATAAAACTAGACCCCACCCTGTAATAGGTCTCATTCTTTAAGCGAAGGATTTCATTATTAAAAATATTTATAATCTCATACCAACATACTTTAGATGTGACTGTATAGATCAAAGTCTCTCTCTCTCTGTGTGTGTGTGTGTGTGTCTGTTTTATATGTACAACCAGACTTTATCGTCTCCTTTGTTCTGATTGTTAGTTTCCAGACACGCCTCAACACTCTTAGCTGAAAGTTCATTAGTGACACCCTGAACTCTCCCCAGAATTCCAGTGTTTGTGTTCCTGTGCTCCACCCTGCCGGTCTCACCTTTCAAACACACACTGATTCATTAATGTGTGTGAGTTGGTTGTCTTATCAGCACGAAGTCTCTCCAGGACGGAGGACATATTTAAACCTTTCACCCAAGGCAGGTCACTTGCAGGGCTGTGGCACCATCTTATCAATGTCACACACACACATACATATATACACACACGTCTACAAATAACTTACTATTACAGCAGTGACTCACACACTCTCTGGACGTGGCAGTGTAAACACACATGATTTTAGCATTTAGCATCAGGAGCAGCTCGTGCAGCAAACACCACCTACGCTGCTGGAGCGGTTCCTCCGCTCTCCCCGCTGTGTTGTTTTACTTGTCGTAATGTTTCTTCGTGATTCCTTTTGGGACGCAGCATTTACATTTTCAAAATGAGTCATTTTCTAGACTGCGTCATGTGTTCGACTGAGCCGTTTACGAGAATAAGTCATTTGCTAGACTAAGTCATTTAGAAGCCTTGGTAATTTATTCGACTAAGTCGTTTACTAGAGTGAGTCATTTGCTACACTAATTCATTTCCTAGTGTCTTGGTGGCGATTATTTTTTTATTTATTTATGTAGTCTTTGTGGTTAGTTTCCTCCTGTAATGTGTATTAATAAACCTTAGAACAAGTGATTTTTTGCACCAGATGTGGTTTAGAAACACATTACGCGAAACAGCCAAGAAACTATCTAGCATTCCTGGATCCCTCGTCATTATAACTGTTCAGTGATGATTTTGAAAGCCCTTTGTGAAAGCTCGAAAGACGACATTTAAGACTGATACCTTAGCCCAGGTAACCACGATCCATTAGCAAACAGTGGCGTAACTCGCTGTCTTGGGGAATGTGTGTTCGCCTTCTGTCATCCAATGCTCCAATCCACGCAGCTCGCAATTTAACTTTGAACGCCCTGTTAACACCAGTATTTAGCGGTTGGAATTCTTTAGTTAATCCACCCGGAATGATGGCAAGCCCCGAATTAGTTTGCTTCACTTGGGTTTTGACAATATCGGTGCGATGGGCGCGCATGAAGTCGCAGATCAATAGGGACGAAGATTTGTGGAAAAGCGTAGTGACCTAAGTTGGACAAAGGAGGGCGCTGTTGTTGTTGTTGTTGTTCGCCCCTCCAGAGTCAGGAGGTTGTCACTATTTTTGTTCTGGATGGTCCGTATTGTTGTTTTGACGCTGTTCCGTGCGGATATACATAAGGCGCACCGGGTTATAAGGTGCGCTGTCAATTTTTGAGAAAGGATTTAAAGTGCGCCTTATAGTCCGAAAAATACGGTTACTTAAAAATATGTTCATCTAAAGTCCACAAAACTGATCTGATCTGACCTCCACACTGCCATCTGACAGAAAACTATCAAAGAAAAAATACAACCCCGAAACCTGACTGTTGTTATCACTGTTCTGTTGTGAGTCACAATTCTCACTCACACATTTTATCACTGGTTATCAAATGCCATTAAACTTGGATGTGAGCAGACAGTAGAGATAAGTTGAAGGATGAAGTTCCAGCAAGTCAGCAAATTTCAAACGTCCTCTGAACTTTGACCTTCAGTGTTCAGGACAGAAACTCAAGACAGAGAATCTGGGAGTGGTTGCCATTACTTTTGGTTTCTAAATCTGTGGTATCAAAGTTTATTATTATTGCCTGCGTACTTATTGCTTCAAATAAGTACTCTGACCTCCGACTCTGAGGTCACTGGGTCGTCTTGGCTCCAGGCTTGAACTGCCCTTGATTTTTTTTTTTTTTTTTGCCAGTCAACTTTTCTGAATGTGACAAACTGGACTTGAATGTGTGAAGTGGTGTCGACTGAGTTGTGCGCTTGTCTCTGTAGCCTTGTGATGGAGATTAGCACCGATTTAAATCAGGGCCTCCTGAGTGGATGGCGACAGGTACAGTTTGTTAAGAGTAGTCAGCTGACACAGCGTGGACAACATATGGTGTGTGTGTGTGTGTGTGTGTGTGTGTGCGCACATAGGCAAACAAGAGGCCACAGCGAAAGACATGACTATTAAAGTTCCAGAAATAAACAGTGAAAAGTCTTTGACGATTCTAGTTCCTGTGCTGACACGTCATTTCCTGTCGACAATTGTTGTTGATAATAAAGAGAAATGAGCCTCTGTAGAAGTCAGACTCACTTGATTCTTCATCTTCGTCATCACCTCGGTCGTAGATTACAACGCAGCTTCTTGTTTCTGGTCTTCACTCATAGACATTTTGTGACATTTTGTCCCACATCGTTCCATTCAAATCTGAATGGAACAATGTGGGACAGGTCCGTGGGTTTCTGCCTCCGCTCCAGTGACTAAGATGGAACCTTTTTAGAACAAGGAACCAAGGACAGGCGGATGATGGTTTAACAGCCTCATCTCTGTAGACCAGTAAAGGAGCACTAAGCCGTAAAAGTCCAGGTGAATCAATGACAGGCTCCGGGGTTTCTCCTCTTCTCACCTTCAAAGAGAAACTGAACCGTTGTATAAAGATGCAGACCAGCAGTGTGACAAACAGAAGGTTTCATCATGCAGGTATCAGGAATTACTGCTGCCCTGTAATGGTTTACTGTCTATGGTCACTGGTCAGACTGTTCGCAGTGTGTGGTCCAATAACCAAGTTTCGTGTTTTGTTTACAAAGAGCTGCTCCACTCCAGCCTTTAAACCAAACCCATTCACCAGTTTATGGTTTTCAAGGTTTTGCTGCATCGTGTCCATCAAGGCTTCAGTGCAGGAGAAGCGTGAGGTCAAAAAGTCAAACAATTAGATGTTTGTAATTAGAGATAATTATGATAATTATGTATGACTACAGTTTTTGTAGTACGGCAGCCGTCCGACCCTGAAGTCAGCAAATGAAGATTAAGAGAATGAGTAAAAAAAAAAAATCCATAATTAAAACAGTGAAAGAATAAAGAACTGAATAGATCTGATACATGTTCTTTAACCAAATTTAGGCTGCATTACCATCACTTAGCCAGCAGGGACATTTCGCAGTTGTAGACTGTGTATGCATTCAGGTTAAAACCATCAGTTCGATATGGATGGTCCCGAGAGGTGACAGATGATAATGAATTGCACGTGTTGCCTCTGTCCCAGCTGAAGATCTCCTTCAACGAGTCCAGTCTCCACAGTACGTACGAGTACCCATCGGAGAGCAGCGTGTGGGACAGCAGCGAGGAGGACGAGGAGGACAGACAAGCCGACGCGACAGTTGCTGATGACCAGCCCAGCATGGTTGGACGCATACACATCCCTCGGGCCAATTATTCCAGCTCGTCCACACACACGACCAATAGCAACGGTGAGATGATGATCACGTGAAAACATTTCTGGGGCATGACGGAAAATAATTGAGAACCACTGCAGTAGAGCTTGATTCCTGGCCACAGGGTGGCGATCTCAAGCATGACTTCTTCCAGGAATGGGGTCTGAAAACCACATTTAAATTAACTTTCGTAAGTTCGTCAATAAAAAAAAAAAATTAAAATTTTATTTTTTATTTATTTTCAGTTGCTTTTTCTTTGATTATTGAACTGTTATGGTTGGCCATTTAACAATAGAAAACAAAGAGTTGTGCTTACAGTTTGCACAGTAGTACTGTACATAATTTATAGAAATAAACAGTACTTTTTTTCTGAAATACGTGGATTTTCTTGTATTGAACATCTGACGCTGATTTGGCGCTCCAATCAAATGACAGGGTCAGTTGTGGCCCTCAGTTCATTTAACGTTGAACCGTAGGATGTTACGATGCTAACACGAGTCACGTCATCAATGGCTGCCCAGAAAGTTTTAAACAGTACTTTACATTCTTCACAGAAAATGAATTAAACAATATGTACATGTCAAAAAAAAAAAAAAAAAATCAGACAGTGATCAGATCGTTAATTTACAATCTCTGTGGTGTGTTGAGGCTGACCTCTGCTGGACAGACGCGGCAAATATCACAGTGACCATTCTACACTCAGTATTTTTATTTAGTGTATACTAAAATATCCACAATTCACCCAAACGTTTTGTATGTGTTTGTTTTTCAGATCTTTCCAGCTACATTCCCAAGCATTCCGTGGACTTCAGTGCCTGGCAGGAGCACAAAAATGAGACAGAGAGAGTTCACCAGGAAGAGGCTGCTGCTCAGCAGACACACATGACAGAGGAAGTGATGGTATGAGGGAGGGAGGGAGGGAGGGAAGGAAGGGGGGAGATCTTCACTTCATCCACAGTCATCCTTACGTACAGCTGTAACCAGTTCAAACCTGTTGTGTTTTCTCTCCCACTCTCTCAGCTGACGCCCGCAGACGGTTCCTCTCTCTCTGACTACAGCAGTGAACCTGCTCTTTACTTCTGATCAAACGGACCAATCAGAAGACCGGATCCCAGCCCCGCCTGCACCTGTACACTCCCTCATCTCTTAAGCACATCCACCGTGTCTGCTGAGACAGGACATTTATTGTTGTTATTATTATTATTATTTAGTTTTTAAGTTTTTTTTTTAAAGGCTGATATCCTGCCATGATGCAACAACGACGCCATGTTTTCAACATCTGCACGTCACACCAAAACTGTTGTTGTCATTTTCGAGGTGGCTGGATTGTTCCACCTTTTCCTCTTTTTTTTTTTTCCTTTTTCTTTTTTTTTTTTTCCTCCTGACAAAAGGAAGCAGCTGGACTGTGTTTTCTTTCTGACGTCCTGGACAGTTGATCTGTCGGCCTTCCCTCCTCCCTCTCTGACCTCCCTTTCTCCCTCACCCCTTCTCCGTTTTCCACCCTCATCAGTAAGACAAAGACCACATCATCCCACTCAAGAGAAGTATTCTTGTTTGTTTGTCCATTTCCAGACAGCTGTCTACTTAACTCTGCATCGGCCGGGCATCACTGCTCTTTGAAGGACCACAGTCTGGTGTTGATATCACCACCACCGTAACGCTGAGTTTAGTGTAACTCTGGACATTTGGACCTGTCCACCGCAAACCACAGACTCACAGCGAACACTTGAAATTGAAAAAGGTTCAAGAGTGCCACGATTTTTGTCTTTTTCAAAATAGTTGTTTGTGCATGTTTTGATTTTCTCCCATCGGTCTCCGCCACTGTTGGGCTTGTAAGGCCCAGGTCTGACTTTCCATGTTCTGTGTCCACGGAAGGATGTCCTTAATTCCCTCATCTGCTGATTTCGATTACGATTATGGATTAGACGCAATGTGGAAGCCACGGAATTAACTCTGTAAATGAAGAAAGCAAACATCAAGTTGTGTTGCCAGGAAAAGATGGGGAAATGGAAACACAATATTTTATGCTGTCGTGAAATATTGTTGCCAAGAGTTTCTATTGTTTGGACTCGTCCTCTTGCCCTTTGACTGACTATCGGTTTGACTATCGACTTTCAACAATTTGCGGCAAATGTACCCCCGAAAGGCCTGCGATATGCGTCTGTACCTGAATTTCCATCAAACTTCTTTGATCTCTCTACACATACCTTTAAATGTCAACATTTCATATGGCAGAATTCCATCGTGATCCTTCTGGAGAATCGTTTGTCTGGATATTAACGTGACTAAAAAGCCAACTGGTACTGATTTCTTTGAGGTGCACGCGAGTGCTATCCCATTAGTCATCAACTACAGGATAGAAAGCTTTTTTTTTTTTTTTTTTTACCAACAGTGACCGTGTTTAATCTGTTGGGATTTCAGATGCTATTTCAGCTCCAGGTGATTCAGTGAAACTAAAACTCTTCTCTGCAGTGCGTGTAAAAACAAAACATGTGTACCCGTGTCAATGGTACGAAGACTGTGGAACTTTAGGACACAGTGCCGTCGTTCTCTATTCTGATCAATGAGTGAATGAATTATTAGTGAGATTAACACCATCCAATCTGACAGCCCCAGTTTTTCAACCCACTGTAAAATTCTTAAGAACATGATGACATCAGTCTACCTCATCACCAACTGCATTTTTTTTTTTTTGCAGCCACTGTCCTATCAGTGAACTTCCAGTGGTTGACAACATTGTTGTCATTGACTTTGGAGAGTCTGACCTGGGCTTCTTTCTGCTTTTTCATTTGTGTAAATCTGTACATCTATGCTGTACTGACGCTGCTGGAGGGATTTATCAGTGAGCAAACATGGACACATTTCCATCTTTGTTGAAACTGAGAGTAAAGATGCACAAACACACGCCTCAGACGAGGGACGTCCGCTTGATCTGTAGCAATTCCGATCAAAAAAAAAGCTTGAAAAGTGACCTTGGCCAATAACGTCTGTTTTAACGTCTATTTTTGTTGCAGCGTCGCCTGGAGAACGCTCTTCTGTATTCCCAAGGTTTATCCAGCTGTCGGACACTTTCTTTTGGCTTGTTCTGTATTTATTTCTGCTGCATGTCTGAGACCTGCTCCCTGTACAAAATCCAGAAGTGTGTAAAATGATTTATTTTCCTTTTGTTTTTCCTGTCGGACCTCATGTACTTTAACATTCCACAAAGAAGCAAGTCAACGAAAGTGATTAAGTTCATTTCAGATGTGGCATGTTTGCGACAGTGAATGTAAGAATGTGTGTGTTGTGTCTGGACGGGAATGGTGATCTTTTTTTTTTTTTTTTTTTTTTTTTTTTATGAAGTTTGTAGTTCTCAGTTCACCAAGTTTCCAGATGATTTTTTTTTTTTTAAGACTAAATGCCAACTGACAAAAGTGAAGCTGTCAAAGGGCCTCGTTTCACTCCCACTGTTGAACCTGCAAACAGTATTGTTGTACAGTCCTCACTGTGATTCACCATTTGTCATTTAGAACCAGCTTTTCTTTTAGAGTTGATCTGCAGTTTTGAAAAAAAATTCTGTCGACAGTTAGATTAAGCCGATGAGACGTGAGTTTGTTTCTGTCTGTATTGACTGTTTGAACCAAGTTCGGGTTCAGTATGACCAACTTTATTACTGTTCATACAATCACTGCCTATATGGGTGACTTGTCGTTTCATCTTTTAACCACATGGTGGCAGTGTTAAATCTATTGCTGCACTAAACCTTGGTAGGAGCCAGCTTTAAGCACAACCAATTGTATCATTTGGAGTTGAGGGAGGGAGGGGGGGGGGGGTGCTAGCTTGAATTGTTCAACATTCCGATTCCCAATGCTAGTCATTTTTAACTGTAAATTTTCATGTGGCAGAGTGGTTGGTGTCGGAAAGGCTCCTCTTTCGTTTTTACTTTCTGGTCTGACCTGGTGTCATTGTCCGACTGGAGTGTTGTTTTGGGCAGTAAACATTAGCAGAACCAATCAGTTGGAACATGTTTTATATTCTCTGTCTAAGCAGGTTCTGTCCCTTGGAAAAAAAAAAGATTTGTACTAACATTGGAGTGTGTAGGTTTTACCACCAGGTCTGATCTTCTCAGACCTCTGTTTCTTCAGCTCGGATTTGGAGGAGGAAGAAAAACCACTGTTTTAAAACCACTGACTATTCAGATGTTATGTTGACCTGTTGAATGAAATGATCTATGCTGTACAACTGTCTGCCTGTCTGTCTGTCTGTGAATGCCATGTTTCTGTCTGTTTTTCCCCCCCCCCCGTTGCCACTGTATCTAAAGTCCTGACATCGTGTCATGGGCCTCACCACTGTGAAAAGGTCCAAACTTCATGTTGTTTAAACTGAAATACCTGTAGCAATTGAGATTGTGTGTTCAATACACAGTGGTTGGTTCTGGTGGTACAACGATCTTCCAGAACATACATTGACCAATGAACTGCGTTGATGTAATGTTAGCTCATGCCAAGTTCCATTCCGAAACCTTGAAACTACTGTTGACAAAAAGATGAATTAATGAAAATACTTGGTTTCAAAAATGGTCCTGGTCCTGGTCCTCTGGGACTGATATGCGCTTTTGATGTTCATCTTTTTAAGATTTTCTTCTGCAGGGTTATACTAAGAGTCCACTGGTGTGGAAGAAATCCTTTCATGGTTCCACTTCTAGAGCACAGTTCTACTACAGTTCCTGATTTGTGCCACTTCATTTGAAATTTTTTTAGCACTGAGTGGATGGAGTTTTTTCCTGTTTGGTCAGCACATAGCTACAGTGCCACAGCCAGAATCCAAATCAGCAACCCTCCAATTACAAGTCCACTAAGCCACGGATTATCAGCTGAAAACTGTTGCTGTAGCTTCCGAATGCATCTGTGGTTCGATCATCAGTCTACTACGGTCTGAGAGTCAAATCGCTGTCACGTGACACACCTGTAGATCCATCTATGGCCTCCAAAAATGTTACCCTTGACCAAGAAACAAACCCCCAAGAGGATCCAATCTTCCTCACGCTTCGTTGAATCGTGACAAACTATCCATCTGTCCCGCATCCCACAAACAAGTGCTTGTTTCTCCACATCTTTCAGAACCAGACAAGGTTCTGAATCAACGTGACCATATATCCTTTTAAGGCCAAACCCAAATCCTAGGACTGACCCTAAAATCAGGACTGGACCTACAGAGAGTCTCTTGAAATTTTAAGGATCCTACAATATTGGTCTTAAGGAAAACGTCCTCACAAACTCCAGCGTTATCCAACTGAGCAGCTTGCGTCAGTCACTCTGTAGTGGTTCTCCGGTCTAAGCTCGGTTTATTTCTATGGTGTCTTTTCTTCTGGTCTGTAAATGTTATTGTCGACAGTTTTTTGGGGGGTAAAAAAAAGAAAAGACTAAAGTGATATCATGACTTGTACAAACGAAGCTCAATAAATAGACTTGAATAAACCAAATTGGCTTCTCCGAAGGTGAGTTTCATGACGTAAAACGACGATTTTAGACTTGTCTGTGAAAGTAAAACACTTTAATTTTAAGTCCTGACAATTAAACACATCCAACACACATAAATAGAATGGACTGTATAAAAAGTGCTGAAGTCCAAACAGACCACCTCTGTTCATAGTTAATGCTCCTTCCTGCGAACGTCTGTAACTTTACTCAGGTTTCCTGTCTGCTGTTTCAGGACACTGAGCAGAGACTGAGAACTTTCCAGGATCTGCAGAGAGAACAAAAATCACACTTAAACCAAAAGGGTCTACGAGATCTGAAAACTGTTGTGTAGCCCTGAAGGTGAAGCTGCTGTGTGTGCAGTAAACATCATCGTCATTAGGACAGGGAGGAGGCCTCCGCTGAAACTGTTGGTTTTTAATCACTGCACCTCGGGAGTGTGTTTGTTGTGAAACTCAGGAAGTGCTAAGGTAGCATGGTGTTAGCGTAGTTAATTACTACCAAAAACATGACACATTCCTAAATTCAATCCCACCGTCAGACAAAAAGAATTCGGGACAATACAACACCCCTCCTTGCTGACGCCGTTTATGCCATATATATTATAGCAGGGGTGTCCACACTTTTTCGGCATGATAGCTGCTTTTCAAATGACCCGGGTAAAGTGATCTATAGTGAAACTATATATGTATAAATATATATTTACTACTTTCATTAAATCGCTGTAGTTGTATGGCACAATACTGTCTAACGCAATACTTCTATGGTCCTTACTTTTGTAAAAATAGAATTAAATCTATCAATGTTAATTTATATAATAATTTTTCTTTAAACTCCCTTTGAGATCTACTGGTAGATCCCGATCCACCTTTTGGGCACCCCTGTATTATAGCTTTTGTTTTGCGAATTATAACCTCTTCATTTGTTTCCATTTTCCCTTTCTATACATGTATTTGGTTTACTGTTAGCTAGTTTTGAAACATAGTTCAAGCAATATGGTTAACCTGAGTTATATTTTTAGC